TCTTGAGGCGGATGCAGGTGGTGGTGCAGTTGATGGCCGAACATCCCAATACATGAAGTCATCTTCCTCCGATGTGTCAACCAGCTTAACCTTGTAATGGTTGTTCGCCACAATTGCCCTCACTATCCCTTGATGCCAGACATCACGCTGCAACACCTCCACACGATCCAACAAAGAGTACGACGAGTTTAGGGTAGGAGGTGATGCACCTGGTTGATGGGAGCCACCTGCAGGTGGATGAGAGGAGACTGGTGATGACGCGGGTGGTGGTTGACGGGTGCCAACTGCTGAGGACGCGGGTGGTGGTTGACGGGTGCCAACTGGTGAAGAGGCGGGTGGTGCAGAGGATTGGTGAAGGACTAACTTCTCAAGCGTCGCCACTCTTTTTTCCAACAGACCAATGGTAGCCCTCAGCTCCAACAATGATGTCGACTCAGGTGCTGGTACTTGAGGAATGTCGGCTCTGATTCCACCCCGATGTTGAATGTCTAACTCATACAAAGATCTCCAGAAGATCTTTTTCTTCTTCACCGTGAGATGATGCATCCAATCCTCAAAACCTACATCAATGAGTTCTATCCCATCATCATAGCTAGGATCTAATATCCGACTCAATAGTTTTTCTTCACCCGAGTCTGCAGGCTTCAAGATGCTATGAATGTCCTGGCAACATAAAAAAACAAATTAGTGACAAACCAAAATAAAATAAACATAGTTGTACAGTTGTCCTAATTGTCCCACGACCAATAATCTTTAATATTGCATAGTTGTACCAGTTGTCCTAATTGTCCCACGATCAATAATCTTTAATATTTCATAGTTGTACCAGTTGTCCTAATTGTCCCACGACCAATAATCTTTAAAATTGTATAGTTGTACCAGTTGTCTTAATACCATTACCAACAAGCAAAACATAGTTGTACCCTATTGTCCAATAACCAAACCCATCAAATACTAACATTTGCACTTGTTCCAATTGCTGAGTTTATATCCTCCAATGGAATGCCTTTCATGCATACATCGGTAAACTTGTGCTTGCACATCTTCGGACAGTCTTTCTCTGCAGGTACGGCTTCTCGAAATTTGCGGTCAAGGCTAGGAATACACTCAAAAGCAAGTATCTACAGAAAAAGTCAAAAAAATAAACTCTAAATTATGTAAACTATTGATATGAGAATTACCTGTAGAGGAAGAATGAAACCAGACAAGGGACATTCTGCTTTTTTGTCTGTCATGCTACCATTAAACTTTGCCATCACACGCCGAATCTCCTTCATCATGTCATCGAATGTGTAACGCCCCCAAAGGAATGATTTACACACATTCAAATCACTGACAACTCTGAGCAAGAACGGATCAATGTTACCATCAGTCTTGTATTTCGCCTTCACTACCTTGCATAAAAACCAGAAGAGGGCCATTTTCTTCCTGTCCACAGAGGTTCCTTCATTTCATTTAATTTTTCTTCCACCTTCCCAATCTTGATTTTATCCTCCCTACCAAAGTGCTTCTTGACAAACTTTGTGTTCCCCAAATTGTTATAGTCAGCCGGGTAATCACGACAGTCAAGTCCACTCAAAAGCGCATGCTCTCCCAGAGAATACCTTATCGGAACTCCGTTAACAACAAACCAGCAATCACTAAGCCTATCAGTATGAGCAGTGTGAAGGAGAAGCATCCACAACCCTTGATTCATATGGTTGGGCTCCTTGAACATGTGAAAAATGTGCTTAAATTGAGGATGCGCTCTAAACCATGCTTTCTCCTCATCAAGCTTATCAATCTTGTCCACAATAGCTCTAACTGAGCACCTTGTCAATATTCTACAACCCTAGCTGTACTCGGGTGGACCGAAGTAAAGCTTCTCAGGCACCATCGGTTGACTACCATCATCGGCATCCTGAGATAAAAACAAGAAACACAATCATATGAGATTTAGTTGCCCCAGTTATCCCAGTTGTCCAAATGCCAAACATAATTTCGTGCAAATAGTTATCCTAGTTGTCCGGGTTGTCCAACTACCAAACATAATTTCATCAGACACAGTTATCCCAGTTGTCCCAGTTGTCCAAATACCAAACATAATTTCGTGAAAATAGTTATCCTAGTTGTCCAACGACCAAACATAATTTCATCAGACACAGTTATCCCAGTTGTCCTAGTTGTCCAAATGCCAAACGTAATTTCATCAGACACAGTTATCCTAGTTGTCCCAGTTGTCCAAATGCCAAACATAATTTCGTTCAAATAGTTATCCTAGTTGTCCTAGTTGTCCAACGACCAAACATAATTTCGTTTAGAGTATACTTACCTCTAAATCTTCATCTGCCTCCTCGCCATCCTCTTCTTCCGCTGCATTTTCTTCCTCTTCATTTCCTTCCTCTTCATTTCCTTCCTCTCCTTCTCCTTCGTCGTCTTTCTCAGGTGTCCCCCCTCCTTCCTCGTCTGCTTCTTTCTCGGATTCCTCTTCTCCACTATCTTTCTTGGATTGCTCATCCTCGACTTCCTCTTCTCCTGTTTCCTTCTCGGATTCCTCTTCCTCGGCTTCTTTCTCTGATTTCTCTTCCTCGCCTTCTCTTCCTGAAGCCTCATCCTCAGATACATCTCCCTCGCCTTCTTTCTGGGATTCTACCACACCCTCTTCCTCGGCTACTGTATCCGCTAAACCCTCTTTCTCAGGATCTTCACGAGATTCCAACTGCTCCTCTGGTTGATCCGTCGCACCCTCGTCCATGGGTGTTGGTGCGGTTTCAAGGGCTTCTTTGGTGGTTTCCGTACCGGCTGGGTCTGCTTCCATCAATGATTCTTCTTCACCCCGAGTTTCTTCATGGGTTGTTTCTTCATCATTCGCCGGAGGGTTTGGTGTTATTCTGGGGTCTTTATCTTCTATATCTGCTTCTTCATTGCGCTTGGGTACAGATTCGTTCGAATCATATACCACGCCTTTTAGTCGATTTTGTAACTGCTTCTTCATGGAGTTAGGGTGGATTTAGGGTTTGTCTTGATGAAGTTAGAAGGCTAAATTATGTAATAAATAGTACGGGAAGTTGAAGAAGGAGCAGTTACAAAATCAGGTGTCGTTTCAAGGGGGAAGTTGCAGAATTTTCGGAAGAGAGAAGGAAGTGGAGATTGCCGTTCGGGGAAGATGAAGAGAGAAAGAGGAGAAATCGTATTTGATTTTCGGTTTTAAGTTTATCAAACGTGTTTGGTTTTAAAAATTAAATCCACTTGGTTCGGTTTCTTTTACCCAAGTTTTGGTTTAACAATTTCAATTTTATTTCAAATTGACTAAGTTTTTTTTTTGGAAAGAAATTCCTTTTTTTCGGGTATTCGGGTGGGGCATAAAATGGGTGGGTTTTACCCTGGTATTTCGTAATTAAAGAGACATATAGGGAAAAGGGTATAATTTCAAAGGTTTCTGTTAATAAAATTAATTCAAAAAGAAATTAGTTTTTAAAGGCACTTCAGCTAACTTTTACGCGTCTCATGTCTTTTCAGCCGCGTACTCTACAGCCTACTTACCTTCAACCTTCTTTAGCAGCATTGCATTTTATGTGTTGTGGAATTGGATTCCAGCAACAAACAGATCCGCTCTCACTAAGGATTGCGCTAAGTTCCTTTACATGCTTTTGAAAAAAATACCTTTCAATTTCGGAAAGCTGGTCCATGATCAGATTATTCGATTGGGTCAGATGGTAGACTACAAAGTCATACCTGTACTTCCTGCCTTGATCTATCAGGTTCTAAATTATCAGCGAGATATTCATTTGCACAAAAATGAATCTTTGAATACCATCTTACTAAACCAATTTGTTATCATATACGAATAAGCAGAGGCAAACACGTGTTTCCTCCTTCACCTTTAGATCAAAATGTAAGCTTGCATCTCTTCCCTCAACCTCAGGTCGAAAGGGAAAATATGCTTCTCTTTTTTTCAAACTGCAATTACCCGCACATATCAAAAACCTTAAAAATATGTAATCTTTTTATGAAGTTGGTTGCAGTTTTGTTGGTTTCTTGTGTCTTAATCTCCCTTCTGCCAAGCCAAATTGTTGCGGAGATAAGACCTTGGTGCCCATCAAAGAAACAAATATTTAGTGGTTCATGCAAAAAAGATTTCACACAATGCTTTGATGATTTAAAAGCAACATGGGGTGATACTGGAGATTCCTAAGCCTTGTTGTTCTCAGATTACCCATATATTTTCAATAATAATGGTTTAATACTAACATATTCGCATCTAAGTATCAAAGACCGAGATTAAAACTATATATAAAAGGCTTATAATAAGTAATTGTGACAACCAATACTATATCACTAGTTCGGATCCTAAACGTTAAGGACCTTAAGGTGCTGGTTTTTCTCATGAACACTCAACGTTAATATATTTGAATTATTAACTCGATTTTCTCCATAATTTTTTCAATCGTTTTATCTTTTGCGTTAAAAATCAAATACACACATTGTTTCGATAATATCATAACACATTGAGCTTTTCTGTTGCATGACAATAATATATATATGTATATATATAATATACAATTTTTTTTTTTGGGTTTTACTATGTATTCTTCATATGAACAGAAATTAGGCTCTCCGACTACAATTGTGTTAGGATTAGGATCTGGATTTTGTCAAGGACATAATTAAGCTTTGGTGTGATTTACAAATTGCAGTTTGCTTATGAAAGAACAATGTTTACAAAACATATTAAAGTGGAGGAGATGCATTATTATTCGAGAAATAATCTCACCAGGAGTTTGTCTATACGGAATTGATGCGAGTATTGTTACCCCAAAAAAAAAAAAAATTCCAAAATGATTCGGTCTGAACCGAATCAACTTAATTAGGTCTCAACCAGATGAACATTTTCCTAAACCAAACTAATCAGAACCAAACTGAAACCTTAAATCCACCAATTACAAACCAATCTCGGTTCTACCTCAAATAAAATTTAGCAATAAAAAATACCATACCCCCTAATCCGGTTAAAGCCGGTCCTAAGTAGGAGAAGATTTGGAAGGATCCAAAATTTGACCAGTGAACAAAACGGTTCCAGTTTTGTCTTCTCTAATCAAGAAAAGAAATGGATGATCAGCCACAAAATCTATAGTCTTGGGCACAATAATGGTGCCCCTGCAACCACGTCTGCCACCTTTAGTAACAGCTGCAGCAACTGCACCATCTTCATCGATCTCGATCAAAGCCTTTTGGTACAATGAAACTTGGAGCCTCAAATCAAAAATCTTTGAAGCTTCAAACCCAAATTCGATCTTAATCTTTGGAATTCTGAGTTTACCAACTTTAACTGCACTTGTCGTAATGTAATTGACCAAGAATCCATCAGTAGATGTCATTCTCTCCAAAAGATTATCCAATCCATCTATCTTGTCCGGTAGATAAAAGTACATTGAGAATTTGCGGTTTGTATCATCACGGCCTTGTTGATAAGGAAGCCTAAGGACCTTGAAACCATCATAAGCCGTTACGTATTGTTTCTTACAACTGCTCATGAACGGTACAGAGACTGATGTGCCATTGAGAAGTTGAAACTCATCGTCTCTTGTCAAAGACTTAGGGAATTTGTCTTCCCAGGCTCCCTTGAAGTACAATGCGTTTCCATAAATCCAATCTGTGTCGCTTTTAATGGATCCACGAGGAAGGATATCTTTGATGAGACCATTGGTGTGATTTGAAGCCCATGCATTTGATAAGCTCCAGAATACTTATGTGAGAAGAAGGAGGAAGGAATTGCAACAAGAAGAAGCGGTTAAAACGGTTAGTGAGGACGTTAGTGGAACCGTTGACCGAAGAGAACCGTGACTGCAGCAAAGACTCGGAGTGGCAGAGAGGGTTTGTTGTTACGTTAGTTCTCTGGTTATATTGTTGTTGTTGCATTTTGAATTAGGAAGACTTCATTTTGTGGAAGTACTCAGTGAGTCGAGAGACTTGAGGCGATCTTGGATCGTGAGTGTTTGTTCTTTTCAGATTCATTCTTGTAATTCCGATATCTCAGCGGATATCTGATTTGTATCTTTGATTCATCAATACAGAGTATTTCCAGTAATTGAGTAAGGGTTGAGAGTGATTACACATTCATTCTTAACAAATGGTGCGTTCGTGAACGGATTGATCAACGGAGCTGGAGAAATCGCGATTGGGAGCTACAATAATGGAGGAAACAATGGAAACTGAAAGGACGATGGAGGAATTCGGGAGAGGTATGGAAGAAGTACATTCCGAACTGAAGCATTTGACGAGTGGATACACACTATTATCCCAATCGTTAGCAACATCAGATCGGAAGCTGGAGAACATATCGGCGATATCAACGAAACGATTCGAATCGTTGGAGAGGCAGATGATCGCGTTATCACAAGCGATTGGAATGATCGAAGCGAATCAATTCAATCCAAGACCACATGGGAAAGAGATCGGATGTTCTTCGGCCGATAACAATCAGGTAACAGAAACGAATCCTGAAACCCTACCGGAAGTCTCGAATTTAGGTTCTCGGGGAATTGAGGTGATAATGGCTACTCGTGAATCATTGTTGAAAAAGATTGATCTACCTACGTTTGATGGAAAGCTACCATATGGTTGGATTTGTCGAGTAGAGAGATACTTTCGAATCGGAAAGTATAATGAAGCACAGAAAATGGAATTGGTTTCACTGAGTTTGGAAGGACGTGTGTTAAACTGGTTTGAAGGAGAAATGGTTGAAACACCATTTGAGGATTGGAAGAACTTTAAAGAGAGGATGTTAGCTCGATTCGCAGCATCTATTGAGGAAGAACCAGGCAAAAGACTTTGCAGTATTGTGCAGACGGGTTCAGTTCAAGATTATATCAGTGAATTTGAAGAACTCACAGCACAAGTAACGGGGATTGATGAAGCAAATCTGGTCAATATTTTCTACAAAGGGTTGAAACAATAAATGAAAGAAGTGATAAAGCTCAAAGAACCGAAGGGATTAACAGCTCATAAAGCTGCAGTGGTGAAAATGGAAGACAGTGTGTTATGCCAAGTGTTGAGTGGAGCTAAAACTATAGAAAACAGAACACAGAGGCCACACACATACACACCGTTCAAAGCAGCCTCAACGAATGTAGGCAAGGCAATAACAATGGAAAATAAAGGGGGAGCTCATCAAAACGCGAAACAAGGACAAAGACCACGTTTACACTTGTCAGAAGCAGAACTGAAATACAGAAAAGAAAATAAACTGTGTTTCAAATGTGGTGACAAGTTCTCAAGAGAACATTTATGCCCCAACATGTCATTACAAGTACTAGTGGTCCTGAACGGATTGGAGATGGAGGTGTTGGAAGATAACATGATGGCCGTAGAAGAAAATCCACAAGAGCAACAACCTCAGATGATGGAGCTATCGTTGAATGCTTTTTTGGGATTGGATTCACCCACAACAACAAAGACTAAAGGAGAACTCAGGAGAAACACAATTGTGGTGATGTTAGATAGCGGTGCGACGCATAACTTTGTATCACCAGAGCTGATAAAAAGAGCTCATTTGAAGATAACACATAACCCGAACCTACAAGTGCTATTAGGCACAGGAGTGTCAGTGAATGGGTCAGGAATATGTTCGGCTGTAACATTCTCAATGCAAGGATTGACGTTTACAACCGATTTCATTGCATTGGAATTGGGTGGTGTGGACGTGGTGTTGGGGGTGCAATGGTTGCGAACTTTGGGGAAGTGTCAGGTGGATTGGGAACTTCACGAGTTCAGCTTCTTATACAAAGGGAAACAAGTAACATTGGTTGGAGATTCGGAGTTACATAATTCAAAAATCTCTTTGAAAACGATGTCATACCATCCTATGGTACAACATCATGGTGTGCAGTTAAGATTCGGGAACACAGAACTGATAGAAACAAAAGAAACAGTAGTGCCCACAGAAATAAGCTCGGTGTTGAAAACGTATGATCACGTGTTTGCCGTACCAAAAGGCCTACCTCCTGTAAGAGGCCACGAACATGCAATTGTTCTGAAACCAGGAACGGAAGCCATAAGTGTTCGACCTTATCGATATCCACAGGCTCACAAGGATGCAATGAATGGGTTGGTGAAAGAGATGTTGGATAGTGGAATCATCAGAGCGAGCCGAAGCCCTTTCTCTAGTCCGGTGCTGTTGGTAAAGAAAAAAGACAAGTCATGGAGATTCTGTGTCGACTATAGAGCTCTAAACAGAGCAACTGTAGCAGACAAATTTCTGATACCAATGATTGATCAGCTCTTAGATGAACTGAATGGAGCACGAATATTTTCAAAACTGGATTTGAGGGCAGGATATCATCAAATACGAATGATCGAAGAGGATATTTCGAAAACCGCGTTCAGAACACACGACGCTCATTACGAGTTTTTGGTAATGCCGTTCGGCCTAACCAATGCTCCAGCAACCTTCCAAGCCCTGATGAATGAGATTTTCAGAGCTTTCTTGGGAAGATTTGTTCTGGTTTTCTTTGATGATGTACTGATATACAGCAGAACTGAATCAGATCATGCGAGGCACTTAGAGATGGTGTTGAAAGTTTTTGAGGAATACCAATTGTTTGCTAACAGAAAAAAATGTCTATTCGCACAGCCTCAAGTGGAGTATTTGGGACACATAATATCAGCAGAAGGAGTGGGAACTGATCAAACTAAAACTTCAGCTATGAAGCTATCGCCAACACCGAAAAATGTGAAACAACGGAGAGGTTTCTTGGGTCTGACAGGATACTACAGACGGTTTGTGAAGGGTTATGGCACATTGGCAAAACCGTTGACAGAACTTCTGAAAAAAGACAAATTTCTGTGGTCAGTAACAACGCAAGAAGCTTTCGACAACTTGAAACTGGCAATGATGTCAGCACCAGTGTTAGCCTTGCCAGATTTTCAGAAACCGTTTATCGTCGAATCGGATGCATCTGGTTTTGGTTTGGGAGCTGTTCTGATGCAAAACAACAGACCAATAGCATTTTTCAGTCATGGGTTAACCCCTCGTGAACAACTAAAGTCAGTATATGAAAGGGAACTCATGGCAGTGGTCTTAACAATCAGAAAATGGAAACACTACCTATTAGGCCGAAGATTTGTAGTGCATACAGATCAGAAGAGCTTGAAGTACTTGTTAGAACAACATGAGATCAGTATGGAGTATCAGAAATGGCTGACTAAGTTGTTGGGTTATGAATTCGACATCATCTACAAACCGGGTATAGAAAATAAAGCAGCTGACGGGTTATCAAGGATTGAAAATACTACACTCGAGTCTCTTACTCTGTTCGCGTACACCATACCCAGTTCGGTGATGATACAAGACTTGTATGCGGAAATCGAAGAGGATGAGGAGATACAGAAGTTATTAGAGTGGTTGAAAACGGAACCAGACTCAAGAAAAGGATACACAATGAGAGAGGGAAAACTGTGGTATAAAGGTCGTCTGGTAATTCCAAAATCTTCTCAATTCATTCCGAATATATTGTTAGAGTGTCACGATGGTTATATGGGTGGACACTCAGGAGTGTTAAAGACCATTAAACGCGTACAACAATGGTTTCATTGGGAAGGATTATCCAAGACAGTTCAACGTTATGTAGCAGAATGTCAGGTGTGTCAAACACACAAATATTCGACTTTATCACCAGCTGGTTTGTTACAACCATTGCCTATTCCAGATCAAATATGGGAGGATTTATCAATGGACTTTATTGAAGGACTTCCTGCTTCAAACGGCTACAATGTTATATTCGTGATCGTGGACAGGTTGAGTAAATTTGGTCATTTTGTGGGGTTGAAGCACCCGTTTACAACAGTTGATGTGACAAGAAAGTTTGTCACTGAGGTTGTTCGCCTTCATGGATTTCCACGATCAATCGTTTCAGACCGAGATAAAGTGTTCCTCAGCTCGTTTTGGAAAGAAATGTTTCGTTTAGCAGGAACACATCTCAGGTTCAGTACAGCCTTTCACCCACAGACAGATGGGCAAACGGAGGTACTTAATCGGTGTTTGGAAACGTATTTGCGTTGCTTTACCTCATCGCACCCACGCACTTGGTTTAAGTTCCTGAGTTGGGCAGAATTATGGTACAATACATCATACCATACGGCGTTGAAAACCACCCCTTTTAAGCTTGTCTATGGTCGTGACCCTCCAAGTCTACTTCGCTTTGAAAAAGGTTCCACTGAGAACTATGACTTGGAGACAATGCTGATGGAACGAGATGAGATAATACGGCAATGCAAAGTTCATTTGGTGCACGCTCAGCAACTTATGAAAAACAATGCAGACAAACATCGTCGAGATGTAGAGTTTACGGTAGGCCAAAAAGTATATTTGAAGTTGCGCCCCTATCGTCAACAGTCTGTCGCAAGAAGAGTGTGCCAAAAATTGTCAGCTAAATATTTTGGACCATATGACATAGTCGAACGCATTGGGAAGGCGGCGTATCGGCTAAACTTACCTATAGGCGCACAGATTCATCCGGTCTTTCACGTGTCGCAGTTAAAAGCAGTCATTGGCACTCATCGTGAAGTATCACAGTTATCTCCAACGAGTGAGGAACTAATGGATGTCATAATTGAACCTGCAGATATACTCGCTACCCGTTACAATGAGCAAGGAGAATTGGAGTTAATGATTCATTGGAGTGGGTTGCCTGACTGTGATGATTCGTGGGTAAAGCTAAAAGAGTTCAAGACGCAGTTTCCTAACCATAAGCTTGGGGACAAGCTTAAATTCGAAGAGGGGGGTATTGATAAGCTCCAGAATACTTATGTGAGAAGAAGGAGGAAGGAATTGCAACAAGAAGAAGCGGTTAAAACGGTTAGTGAGGACGTTAGTGGAACCGTTGACCGAAGAGAACCGTGACTGCAGCAAAGACTCGGAGTGGCAGAGAGGGTTTGCTGTTACGTTAGTTCTCTGGTTATATTGTTGTTGTTGCATTTTGAATTAGGAAGACTTCATTTTATGGAAGTACTCAGTGAGTCGAGAGACTTGAGGCGATCTTGGATCGTGAGTGTTTGTTCTTTTCAGATTCATTCTTGTAATTCCGATATCTCAGCGGATATCTGATTTGTATCTTTGATTCATCAATACAGAGTATTTCCAGTAATTGAGTAAGGGTTGAGAGTGATTACACATTCATTCTTAACAGCATTCACCTCCTCGCGCACTTGTTCAGCCTTGTGTTACAAGTAAAAGCTAACTTATCAGAAATTGTATGGCTAATTTAGTTTTGAAAATTTGAAAATTGTATGGATTTTCAAAACGCGAATCATTTTGTAGAAATGGAACAGCTCTTGATCTAATTATTATTAGCTCTAGTCGCAGCTACTCTTAACCTAATTTGTTACACACAAAAAAGAAACCCTAATCTAATCAATGAACATTTTAAATTCGGTGAAATCAGAAACTAACCTTGAATCGGAAATCAACTTGAGCGAAAGCAGCCTTGAAGAAATTCTCAAAGAGATCCTTTAACGAGGGTTTAACAGGCAGCGATTGCTCCATCCACACTCCATTAACGGCCGAGATTTTAGGGCCACCGCTCGCGCTAGCGTCAGCGAGGACGACTGTAGCAATCTTGCAGAAAACAGCGTTGAGCTCATCGATTGAGGAAGACCTAAGTAAGGAGAAGATGAAGGATCTTAGTGTTTCTTCCTCGGAGGTAGCAGCTAACATAGTGAGCACGGCGTTGATTGATGTTGGAGAGAAGACCACGTTTGAGTTTTTGGCAACGGAAGAGATTACTTTCGCTGTAAGGAACATAGTGAAGTCGTTTTGCTTCTTCATCGCGTCTTCCACATCAATCGCTCTTGGCAATTTAATCTCTGCGAAAGTGGGACTTGCGATTACTTCTTGTGATTTGCTCAGTTTTTGGTTTTCCTTCTCTTTTCGATACATGTTTGAGAGAGAGGGATCTGCTGTGTCTGAAGATGTGCTAAGCTTTTGTTCACTCTTTTTTGGATCCATCTTCAACGTTTTTGTTTATTTCCCTGTGAACACACATGACACATTCATAGCGTATAGTCGGTTTTTGAACAAAAGAAGAAATCATATAAGCGTATAGTCGGTTTTTGAACAAAAGGAGAAATCATATATTTTCTTTTCGAAAAAAGGAAAGAATTTATATACTTCTAACTATAGTAGAATTGGAAAGTCTAACTTTCTATAAAAATGAATTTAACGTTGAAAGTTAAAATTAATAGATGATTTATTTATTGCTTGTGTCACAAGTTTTTTTATTTAATTGACTCTCCTCAAGTTGCTGTTGCAGCAGGGAAAGAAGCACATGTATTTGATAAAAATCTCTGAAGTTATGCTTGGTGTTTCCCTCCAGCTCAACTCTTCTAACCCGGTTGCTTTTGTGATCCACAATGTTAACATAAACAACTCGAAATTTACCCCCAAAAAATGTAAACATGAAAACACTAAATTTAATGGGTGCAAAGATAATCTCTCCCATATCAGAAGCGCCCACCATTTCTAAATCGCCATGAAGCATCCCAGTATCACCTGTACTAACACCTACTTCTTTCGACCACTCTTGTTTCTTGGCTTCCTCTAAACCCCACAAATCGAAAACGGTGCTACAAATTCTTTCGACAAGAGCTACTTTTCCATGGTAGTTTATCAAGTCGTAATACGAAAATCTAAAGTCCTTGGGAAACACGGGAATTAAACAATCTCCAAATTTTCAGACCTCAAATCAAACCCCACCATGAATGGTTCATTTCAAGAAGCGGCAGCAATGTTATGTAAAATACCATCTATGCACACACAACTAGTTCCAGAAAAGTGAGGACCAATTCTCCATGAATAATTTTGAGCTCATAATGTGAGGACTTGATGATGTTCACAAAGTTAATTTTCGAAATATTTACATGTTTTAGTATTTTATTTTAAGTCCAAATATGAATCTAAAAAATAAATAAAATAATAAAAACCCAAAACTATAAAACAATTTGAATAATTGTTTTTTTTTAAAAGAAAGCTGTTATCTTATAAAATAATATATGTTAAATATTTTTAAAATTTAATATAGATATATATATAACAGATCCAGATATCCATACCTTAAATCACAGTACACATATCCTTATACAGTTTTGACAAATTCAAAATTTCACTGTGCGGATCTGGATTGTGACGTTTTGGATATGAGATAATGAGAAAACTGTATATGTTTTCTACCTAAAAGCCTTTTGAAACAAATATAGATAATATCAATTAAAAAATCCCATAATTATGTCATGTATTCATATTTTCTTAAAATATTGTAAAAAAGATAGCTTACCAAAAAATACAGATCATATTTTTTAGTCTCAACAGGTATAATCAAATGTACTAGCTAGTGTATATGTGTCTATATAAATATATAATTAGTGCTTGTATAATCACAGATTAAAATATATAAAGAAAAGAAACACCCAAAAAAAGGAGAGAACAAAATTACAAAAAATGAAGTTGGCTGCAATCTTCTTGGCTTCTTGTATCTTATTCTCCCTACTCCCAATCCACTTTTCTCAAGGTCTTATCATCATATTGTGTGTGATTACTATTTTGCTCATATATATCATATTCCGGTTACCCAAACCGGCTTCGTTTAATTCTGTTTTTATTTTGTTGTTGTTGAAAAAATTAATTAATTAGGTGGAGAACCAAGAGTGACCGCTGCGCACAAAAGGCCGTGGTGTCCATCGAAAAAGCAGGAGTTCACTGGTTCATGCTCAAGCGATGGAGCACAACAATGTCTAAATGACTTATTAAGTACTTGGGATCCAAGTGTTAGGCTTAGCCCTGTCTCCTGCAATTGCACTCCTCAATCCAACAACATGCGTCTCTGCAATTGTCCTAATATGATTTGCCCCTAAACCATAATTAATTTTACTTAGTATGTTGTTATTCTAAACAATTTTCTATGTATCAATAATATCTAATAATGTACTCTCGCAACTTTTTAAAAAAAAAAAGGATTCTTTTGAAGAAAGTGAATATAAGTTCTGTTTTGAGTCCAACAACAAAATTTAAATTATAATATATTATATATGTTCAGTTTTTTCCGTCGATTAAGTCTCAAGTTTCTTCTCTCCTCTGTAGATTCCAATATTGTGCTTTGTTGTTTGTTTTTGTAACCTTGTGAACTTTTAGTTCCTTTGCAAAGATGCTGATGTTCTGTCTAATTACCTTGGTGGGCTAAACGAAGGTCTTGTTAAGGATAATTTCATTACTGTCTATGAGGTATCTATGTTCAAACAGTTTGCAATTTCGATAAGCAAGCCACTTGATTATCTCTTTCTTTTAACCGAGACTATGGTGGCCATTATGGTTTCTGCACTTTATTAGTCTAGCTTCTATGTGATGTGTTGTTTATCTTGTGGCTCAATTGTTACTTCAATTTAGCACTTGTGCGCATTTTGTGACAAAATAGAGACAATTTGGATAAATATTTTAGCGCCTTTTCGAGTGTTTAATGTACTACGTAATTCTGGATTCATTCTACCTAATTTTTGATAATACGTGTTAATTGTCAGGGCTTGTAGCTTGTATTATTCTTGTTTTTCTGTGCTAATATCATAATGTCTTCAAATTTCCCCTGTTTCACTGTTCTTGGATTGCTTTTGAGACGAAGTACACAATTGTAACATTTTCCACCTTATGAGTGAGTCAGAAACAAAGATGCCACATTGCTTCCGATTTGTTATGCATAATTTGTCTTTTTTATTTCTTGTCTACTTGTTTCGTTGGTTTGCAATCACTGAGAGATTAATAGCTCTTTGTTGGTTTGCTCAGACCGTCCGTCCTCGTTTGTACAAAGGGTCTCATGCTCAGACGCACGCTGGAGAGTTCGATATCAAATTGTAGTTTTCCCGTAAAACTCTATTAAAGACTTTTGAGCTCCTCTTAATTGTTTGTGACTCCAAATTGTATATACTAGATTAATACCCGCATTTATATAAATTTATATTTTTTATTGCTTGTGGCGCTAAATATTGGTTTAATAAAATATCCATATAAATACTCTAAATTTATATACAATGACAAAAATTCATATAAAAAAAAAGGGAAATTTGGTGTCATAGCAACAAGACAAGAGCTATTTAGGTGTTTGAAAACTAATTTTTTTTATGGTGTGGAAAGTACCCTAAAGCCCCTCAGCTCTTTTCCCCCATAGCATCTCTTTAGAATGATAACATATACGTTTTTACATATTCATTTTTTCTGACACCTTTCTCTTTCATCAACTTTAATTCAAATTATTTTCGTTGGGACTTTATAGTCAAACTTAAATCTTTGAAATTCAATGAATTTCAAAATACTGCTACCACACCCATATCCTCTCTTCTCTTATTTCAGCGACTATACATCTTTGCTTCGCCGTTCCTGTCAAGATCAACCGGAGTTTGACGCAGCGAGTCTTTATACCATTACCGCCGTTTAAAGCTCCGAACATGATGGACAAATCTTGTGAACCACTGCCTTTTTCTTCTGCAGCGAATATTGAAAGGTACATGTTCAGTCGTTGACACATCTACTTCTACTCTGTTATTGTTTCGTAATTTGAATGTTATCTGATTGTAGTCGCCGTTATCCGCATATATCGTCGTTAATTTCCAAGATCTAGAATTGTTTTTTTTCTCAGCTAGATCTCTCGTTATTTTTTCTCTTTTTGGACACATAAACGTTTTTTTATAGGCAATTTCTCGTGATTCATGATTTTTGTATTTTTTAACCAGCCCACTCCCATTCTCATCCGTCATCCAGATCTACGCTTTCAGATCTGAGTAGTCGACTACTGTCTATAGTCAACTACATTTGAACTACATTACTAGCTTAGTAGGCGACCATTTATTTGGTAGCTAACTATTCGTTGCTATGTGTTTGAAGGGCTATGTTGTCCCAAGTACATCCCGATCTGGTACCTGGCAAATGATGTCCTTCCACAGATTCGCGATGCAGTCTAGGATTTTAAAATTTTCTTTCAGCAATTAACTATATACATCGTCACTAGTAATCGTCTACTCGCAACGTCTATAACCGATTCAATATAAAGCTACATATTCAGTTAGTCTACGTTACTACTAGACAGGAATAGTCAACTACTCATATGAATAACAATAGTTATTTACATCACATTGGTAGTCAGTTTACAGTAGCTAACTATTTGACTTTTGTTCGTTTCAAGGGATATGTGTACTCTTCGACAATCCGAACCCACACCGTTTGCAAATAATGTGCTTCTCCAGATTAGTGATGCACTCGTTGATATTTTTGAAAGAGTTGGTCGGGAATCTGCCAAAGATGCTTGTTCATTTGCTTGTTCATGTAAATTTCTGACAGTTCCATCATCTTTTTCGTTGTTATCGATATCTGGTTCTCTTTATTTTGTAGATCTAGAGTAGTTAACTATTTTTATATGCATACTGAGTAAGTAGTAACTACATTGAATATGGTCATTAGTAATTGCCTACTCTTATCATCTATAACATATACAACAAATAACTACTCCATATTCAGTTAGTCTACATAACTACTATGCACATATAACCAATACTAATATAATTATCGGTAGTTAACTACGTTATAACAGTAATCAGTTTACAATAGCTAACTTTTTGCCATTTTTCCTTTGTAGGGATATGTGTTCTCTTCGACAATGTGAACCCACACCGTTCGCAAATAATGTGCTTCTTCAGATTCGCAATGCACTCGTTAAACTCTTTGTAAGGGTTGCTAGAGAATCTGCAGAAGATGTGTTCATTTGCTTGTTCATGTAACGTTTTAAACCAAACATTCAAGGAACCATCTCTCATCAAGGCACTCAACCTCTTTGCCTTCATTAAACGTCTCAACTTAATGAAGTGCTACCCTGAATTCTTTGAGTCAGCGAAAATGGATAACTACCAATAATCAAATTTTAGAAGTAGCTATGTAATCGAAATAGACAATTATTAATACTTACTTTTAAGTATTATAATCAACTTTGAGATGTATGGAGAAAATAGACAACTACTAATAATCGACTTGGAGTACTACCTATCTAATCGAAATATGTTACAAACTAGTCAACATCTCTGTGTCATTCAAACGAACCTTCATTTTAAACATAGTTACCTACTAGTCGTTGTCTACTAGAAATCTGAACACAACAAACAAAAGAATTAGAATTAAAAGGGACGTCTATACTGAAGTGATAGATGACTAATTGGTATATGTCTACTTACTTTCAACTTGGTGCAACTATAGAAAGTATCGTCCATAATTTTTCACACTTTCGGAGTGAGAGAATGTTTGTCTGATGGGGATGCAGATTTTTTATGAAAATAGTTATCTACTACATATCCACATACTCTTCGCTAATGATTTTCTACGAAAATAGTCAACTATGGCTATAGACTTACCATTGTGACACCTCCCAAGACACCTGCTGCAAAGTTTTGCCGCATTCCTCAAATTTCTTCTGTGACAGCAAACGAATTAGATCAACCACATTTCTACCACAAAATAGTCAACTATGACTAATAATAAAAAAAGCTGACTATGATACAAACACTAAATAGTTGAATACGTTACCTTCATTTCCCCTTAAGATGAGATCTTTATTTTGCTTTGGTCGACCATCTGGTCAGCGTATTAATGGAGGAAGTAGTTCTGAGACACCATAACATACATGAGTTGGTACTAGGTGGAATGGTCTTTCATGTTGTAAGAAGAAGTTACTGATAACTTGTTATGTACACATCTCCCCTTTTATGTTGTAAACTTCATACTCATCGTGGCCGACAACAACCACTTACATTTTAAACATAGTCACCTATTAGTAGTCATCTACTATAAATATATGAACACAACAAAGAAAATAAATAGAATTGAAAAGAATGTCTATGTTGAAGTGATAGGTGACTACTTGGTATATGTCTATTTACTTTTAACTTGGTACATAATGTCTATTTCATCTAAGGCGGATGCAACTTCTTTATTAAATAGTCGTCTACTACATAACCGCATATTCTGAGCAAATATTTTTATGAAAATAGTTAATTATTCTATAGAGTTATCTCATATTTTAATGATTTGAGCAAAAAGACACCATGTATAATTTTTTGAGAAAATACGAACCATAACGCTATAAATCAGAAACTTGAATGTTTGGTTTATGGGTGTTGTGTTAGTGGCTATTTATCTGATCCACTAGAGTTCTCTCAAATTAACCTATTTGTACACGTAATACTAAACGACAACAACGTTTAAAGCTTACTAAAGTAACAATAAAGTTTACGTTGCTATTGTTTCAAAAAACAAGTAACGTTTGTGTCTTAGTAAGTTGGTGTGGTCCCAACCTCAGTTAGAAAAAGCGATGTCTAGATTTAGGGAGCAAATATTGCAATGTCATTTCCACATACTTATTTTCTGTTGACTTGTGCTATGCACTTAATTGATCGCTTTTCTATAGTATTCAATTAATTTGTTCTCTCAAAAGTAATATTGATGCAAATCACCCATAAAATTCATATTTTATTAATTTATTAAATATCTTTTAAAGGTTTTAGGTGATAATCTGTTATTTAGTTTATCTCAGTTCAGTCTATTATTTTGAATAATTTTTAAAAATAACTTTTAAAATTGTAATTATAAAAACCGTCTGTTCATAAATTACTGTATAATATAAATTTTTATTGATCGATAATGATAAAATATGCAAAATAAATATATAATATTGGGACATGTATTAATTAAGGATTTTTAAAAGAATACAAAACCTTCTCTCTCCTTATTGAACAATTACTTAAAAGCGATTTAAAAAGACATAGACCTAACTATTGTATCTCTTGTTTGGTTAGACGATCCTTGACCGTTTGGTTGGTTAACAACTTTAAGGTCGCATCATTTACACCCTACCTCAGATTTGTCAGGAACACGATTCTCAAGGTAACAAATCCGGTAAATATCCCTAAGAAGTTTTTTTTGGTGAGGGTCATCAAGAAACAAACACACACAGTTTTTTGTGCGTGTTGGCCTTGTAAGACTAGCACAACATTGGGAAAAATAGAAACGATCCAGATTTTTCTCACGAAGGCCATGACAGAAATGAAGACTTTCAGAGCAAATCTTGTTGAGGTTTTGACTCTTGATCGGGGATGATGTCAAGAGTATGATAAAGGCGATGGACATCAATAGAATGATCTTCATTTTCTGATTAAATTACTAGCTCGTGAAAATTAGTCTCATATAAAATTTTACTCTAATTTGAAACAACTAGATTTTCAGGTCTTTAAATAGGAAACTGAATCGGCAACATATGGGAATATTGAAGGTGGGAATCGAATTCTAAATATAAGAGACGATGCTGATTCTTTTTCTATTTTACAAAATAATTATTAAAATTCGTAACAAACAATTGACTTGTTCAAATGACCGATTCAATAGGAAGTGAGGATGAACGGAGTTTTAATTTGGTTTTTATTGTCCCATGCAAAATTGCATGCATCTTGATTCGTTAAGCAACTTGAATGTTGATGACCGGCAACATATACAAAGAAGTTAATATATACCAAAAATATTACTCAGTATTTGGTCGACTTATATAAGGTAAGTTATATACAAACCACCATATCAAGAGATAATAGACACTCTCTCATGGTATGACGATTTGAACAGATTACAAATCTGGTGAATAGGCTACTCATTGGCTACAACGTCGTGCCAACCAAAATTAGATACCTTAGACAATTTAAAAAATTGTGGCCTTTTTAAAGTGTATATTGTAATTCTTACATCTGATTTCTATTGAAGCTGGTTACGATTGTCCTGATATCAAACTTTAATCGTACCTGATTTAAAACGAGTCATGGCGATGTTTGTTCTTTAATAAGTTGGACCACTCTCCATTACTACATCTATGCATAAAGAGGTTTGTCCAGCAAATGTTTGTTCTTTGATCAAGAACAAGAAAGAAACTCACCAGTTTTCAGATTCTTTGTTCTTCAACAATCCTTGTTGTTACGTTCTCGGATTATATAACCACCCCTCTCGACCTGGAAACGGATATTCGGAGTATGAAAGAGTAGTGGATCTCGGAAAACCTGCCAACGTTTACACTTGGCTACTCGTGCACCCTTCATCTTTAGTGCAAGTCAAGCAAACTCCAAGACGCAGCCAAAGGAAAATACAATGCAGTTTAGAAAGCCGTCAGTGTCATCAAAAGATGTTGAGACTTTCAATATGGGACGACTTTCAGTCTTACAAACCCTAATTTATGTCTTTCATATCTTGCTCTTCTTCTCTTTTATTTTATTTTTGATGCTTATTTGGGAACTGTTTATTTTCATTTCTTTATCAATCAAGAATTGAATTTTAAAAACGAAACTCAGAAAGGTTTATAGGTATAAATCTTTTATGTTTATTGATTAATATAATGTATGTAAGAAAGTGAGGACCGTCGACAAAAAAGAAATAAGTAAGAGTTGACAAAGAAAAAGAAAACAACTAAGTAAGAAAATGAAGGAAAAAGGGGTAGGTGAAGTGAACCATGTGTAGAAAAATGAGCCATGCAATCATTGAAAGAAGAAACTAAATTAGTGCAAAGAAAAAATTATAATTAAAAATGCAAAAAACTAGATTGATAACCCTTTTGCTCACAAAAAAAAAAAAAAAGCCTTTACGTAAGTCACATATTCCATTTCTTTAATCTCATTATCAATAGGAAGGATAACCAAAAACGGAAAAAAAAACCAAGATTACACAAGTACAGTCAAATCTACATGTGTTTATATATAAAGTCATATTTGTTCTTGTTTAGAGAATCACAACAAAGTCATAACAATATATGAAATAAGAGAGAGAGAGAGAGAGAGAGAGAGAGAGAGAGAGAGAGAGAGAGAGAAGAAACTATGAATCTGGCTGCGATCTTCTTGGCTTATTGTGTCTTATTCTCTATTCTCCCAAGCCACCACTTTTCACAAGGTAATAATCATATTTTGATTGTGATTATCCTTTTTCTCACCGAACTCCAGTAAACCCAAAACCGGTTTGGTTCAGCTCCTTTTTTTGGTGTGGTTGTTGATGAACTAGGTGAAGAACCAAGCTTGAGCACTACTTGGAGAAGGCCATGGTGCCCATCGAAAAAACAAGTGTTCAGGGGTTCATGCTCAACAGATGGAGGACAAAAATGTCTAAACGACTTATTAAGCACATGGAATCCAAGTGTAAGACTCAGCCCAATCTACTGCGATTGCACTCCTCAACATAACTATAAGCGCCTCTGCGATTGTCCTATTATGATTTGTCCCTAGAAAAGTTTCTATTTTAGATCCCAAACTGTTGCTCTATATCGTTTTCCTATGTTTCAATTTCCAAGTTTGGTTTTGGGTACCAGTGTGTGTGTGTGTGCAGTTTTTCCTTGCATTATAGCGTTTTTCTTCTACTCAAGAACTCAGGTTGGTTAATGGAGGATGTTTTAATTTAGATATTTCGATTTAAATTAAAGAATAACCTCTCGTTCTAAAAGAGGGTTTGAATCCAGGGCACAAAAAAACTAACCCTCTTGTAATACTACTACTGCCACTAGGCCACCACCTCTTTGGTTAATGGAGGATGTTGCTAGGCTAACTTCAGATACAATCACATAGATGTCTTATACACTGCATTTCCAATTGAGATTGCTTGTCTCTTGATATAGCTAGTCAACTTCTCCACCTAGTAGAATGTTGAGTTATGGAATATTAGAACAAAATTTGAGTGTTCGTCTTTGTTTTAGAGCTACTAAGAAGGTATGCACCTGTGATAGTGCTGCTTGGCGCAGAGAGAATGATTCCAAAACTTTTTAGTTTTTTAGTTTTTAGTTTTTTTTTTTTTTGTAGTAGATATCATGATATTTAAGCACAAAGTCCGCATATATAGAAGCCACATGTCCGGATCCTGAAATACTACATCTTCGGATCCAAGCACCTCTACTAGTCTAAGTGGTAGGTGAAGTCCACTAACATTATCATCATGTCTATAAAAGTGAGTAATGAAATCATTGAAACGAATAAACAAATATTAAAGCAAAGGTGAACGTAATTAATATCGTTCAAAAACAGAAGATAGCTTACCATAAGACGACAAGAAAAACAGATTATAGCTTACCATAAAACAGGAATTCAATATTTTTTTTTAATTCCCAAAACGGAAAATTTTGAAAATTATGTAGAGTCAAATGTACCTGTGTCTATATGTAAAATATTAGTGTTTGCTTGGAGACAATCAAAACGAAAAGAAAAAAACATGAAGTTATCTGCAATCTTCTTGGCTATTTGTGTCTTATTCTCCCTTCTCCCAAGCCACCTTTCATTAGGTCTTTATCTTTCTCCTGAAATTTTTTACAGTTTTGCTTGCACAACTCCGGTTTACCCAAACCAGCTTGGTTTAACTCATTTTTATATTTATTTTGTTGATGAATTAGGTGAACCAAGCTTGATCGCTACCGAGAAAAGGCAATGGTGCCCGTTTAAAAAACAAATGTTCAGAGGTTCATGCTCAAAAGATGGAGGACAACAATGTCTAAATGACTTATTACGTACATGGGATCCAAGTGTAAGGCTCAGCCCAGTCTACTGCAATTGCACCACTAAACCTAACAACAAGCGTCTCTGCAGTTGTCCTAACATGATTTGCCCCTAAGAAAAACGTCTATTTAAGACCCAAACACTGTTGTTCTAATCACTTTCTTATATATCAATACAAATGTTTCTAATCTTCTATGAGAACCCAAATATAATATACTCGCATCTCAAAACCAATGTGTTAAAAAAGTTTTGTTTTGGGTACCAGTTTATGTCCATGTGCAGTTTCCTTGCATGCATTTTTTCTTCTTACTCAAGAACTTGGGTTGGTTGATGGAGGATGTTGCCTGGATAAGTAAGGGACTTCAGATACTATCCCAGAGATGTCTTCTCCTATAGTCACTGTGTTTCCAATTACGGCTGCTTGTTTCTTGATGTAGCCTAACCCAAAATGGCTAGATCCGTTTCTTCCTCTAGTGTAGCTCGTTAGCTTCCCGACCTGAAAGTAACATTTATCAACCAGTCAAGGAATAATACGAAAAAATGAAGAAGATGTTCTTTTCTTTGTCTTCGAGTTACTATAATCTATTCACATAAAGGCTCAAAACCTTTTTCCCGTCGAATGTGATGGTGCTGCCGGGTTCAGCTGGTGCAGAGAGGTCGAGTCCACACAACTTTTGCTTGATTCCATCATATGTTATGAGTCTTGCGATAGTCTCTTGCCCCTTATAACAACCTGAGCAGTTTGGGAAGTTTAACCAAGGCACTTCTTGTATCATTTTTAGTTCACTAACCAAAGCTTCTCGAATACCTTTGTTCAGAGAGATCGAGTTCCATAGACCCGCTTCGAGAACATTGAATTCCTTGCTGAGTTCTCTCTCAGGTGCTGGTCTTCCTGCAAAACATTAATGCTTTTGGCCTGAATAAGCTATGTTGTAAGATATACGATTCTGATTTTACTAATGGCAAGACAAAGACATTAACGATAGCTGTACAACACTGAGCATCTCTAAGTGATTATTGGCTATATTAAGGCATACAATAGTTTTACAAACCTTGAATGATTCTAAGTTTCTCCCAGGCTACAGAACCCATTGGAATGGCACCTTCAGCTAAAAGAGTCTTCCAGACTGAAATGGCACCCCCTGGTGACATTAACATGGTAAAGCCTTCCTCTGAAATAAGACTCCCGACTCCAACTGTTATTGGCATTCCATCGAACTGAAAAAGAAAGTAACATGTTACTACATGTCGCTTCACAAGATCTGTTTCGAGAGTAAAACAAAGGCTTACACTATAATGTTTATGCGTGCCATATGGCTGCCCAATAAGATCTCCCAGATTCAGTTTAGACATAATCTGTTTCAAATTTTTTACATTAGCATAAAAACAATGTATTTAAACTACCATGAAGGCTAAACCGAGAAAGATTGACAGGATTTGTCACTCTGCTTAAAGAAGAAGAAACTCACTTGGTTGCTTTTGGGTCCTGCTAAAGCAAATAAGCAAGTTTGCTTGGTGATATCTTTGATCTCTACCTTGTCAGCAAAAAAAATGTACCTGAGAAGATGAAGATGAGAAATAAGTGACATCACAATCCTCAAAATCAAAGCCTGATTTTTACAGAAACCAGCACAATTTTCGTATGGCAACATGGAGGAAACGCTATAACATACTTGTTTAACATCTCAATTATGCTTTGGCACGTCGTTGGAGAAACCATTAGCATTATCGCGTTTTTCTGAAAGTGAGACACGAAACTTGCGTATAAGATATATATGAGCCACTAAAGGTGAACCCAAACTTATTTGACTCCCAAAAGGAAGGAGTGTCTTTACCATTATCCAGGCACGTGCAATATCTATGGTCCTTGCTGTTGGGGTAACGAATACAGTGTCACATCCCTTAAGAAACGAGCAAATAGAAACACAAGTAGTTAAACCCTAAACACAGAAGCAACAATATACACTCGCTTCACAAATATCCTTAAAAAGACTCACTTGTCCTTCGTTAAGGCATTCAAAATTTGCAGTAGTTTGGTTATGAAGGAAATGAGCGCGATCATCTCCACTAACTTGATGGCAATAGCACCAACCATGTAGCCAGAAACATTAGGTAGCAGCATAAGAGAAAATTTAAAGCCAAAAGCTAAATGTTTGTAAGCGAATTAAAAACTAATTCAATGTCGAAATACCTCGAATTCTCCCAAAATGTGAGAGGTCCACAACCTGCAATCGAATTTTGATTCATACAAAAATCAGATATCAAACAGCCAAAGAGATTCAAAGTTAAACCAAAACAAAGAGAAGTAAAAAGTTACATACCACCACTCCATTATCAAATGCATCCAAAGCCTCATCATCGTTATCAAAACTCTCAACAACACCATCTTCTGAGACTTTTCCTCCAGAAACACTAATTGTATCCTTCACATTCACAAGTCCATAAACAACAACAAAATCAGAAATCCATTAGCACTAATTTCTCCTTCCAATACTGTTTTCCACAGCGGTAGACTTCGCCACTTTATATTCAAGCAAATTGTTATTTCTAGTGCCAATGAGAAGAAAGCTTACAAGGAGATCGTGATCGATGGGAGGCGGAGAGAAATCGAACTGCAACGAATCAGACGCCGAGACGCATCGGAGCTGAAACTTTCGTTCTCGAGAACCACCGTTTCGGAGACGAAGGGAGCGGCGGCGAAGAATTGTTCCGCTGCAGAGACATGGAAGCAGAGCAGTAGCAGTATTGGTGATGTGGCTAAGTCCAGCCATCCTCATCATCGCCATGTCCGTACAACTCTGAAGAAGATGATTATTATAATAACTCAACTCGTATCTCTCTGGTTGGGAAAAAAAATACTAAAACATTAATAGGGGAAAATGTGTCAAATTACATCTTCTTGGAAATACTAAAAACATTAAAATACTTTTGCAAGTGTTTACACTTTACTCATTTTCCTTTTTTTCAATGAAACAAAAACTTTAAAAGTAACGTCTAGTTTCAAGAAAAATAATCATAATCAAAGAAGAACAATGGCATTCTTTACCAACCCTTTTTCACCCTTTTTACCAATTTTTGTTTGTATATATCCCAAATGCTTGTTTCTCTGGCCAGTAGTGACTGTACAAGCAGGCAAGGAACAAAAAAACAGAGACAACAGAAAAAAGAAAATACAAATATACAGTAAACAGAGGAAGATACTTTCAGTCAACTAAAAGTGGATCATGATGAGGGTTTTGAGGGGAAGTATCTGCAAACACTTGAGCTTCATCTTCATCTCTCACATCTCTAAACATCGAAAGAAATGAGTTAAGCCCTTCTGAGGAAGCCCCACCTAAAATCCACAATAACATCGAGCTGAACGAGCTCATCGCTCCTGCTTGTGGGTTAGGCCCTGCGGGAATGTTGTTTGCTGCGTTCACTTCTTGCTCTTGATGTTGCATTGGATTCTCTGCTCCTTCATTCGCTGCTGCTGGTGGTGGTGCTGCTGCTGGTGGTGGTGATCTTGTTTCCGTGTTTTGGCTTGGGACTGTGTTGTTGTTTGGACCAGATGGAGATCGGTTTCTTGTTGTTCTGTTCAGCCTTGTGATGTGAAGAGTTGATGCTAGGATTGTTGAGGAAGTGATGTGGAAGTCTGGGTGTTGCTGAAGTTGTGACTGTCGGCTTTGAAGGAATCTTTGAAGAGCCGGTACCTGCAAATTTTGTGTGTTTTAGCTTTTAAGGTAAAAAGCTTATAATTTAAGTTCCAATCTTGGTGTTGTTGGAATCAAACGTTTACCTCAAAACGGTTCCAGAAATATAAAATCAAGTGTTGCATGAATGCAGCGGTTGTCATTAGGGCGAGATAAGAAAATCCTGTTGAGAGTTGTGAAGTTAGTGAACGACTATGAAGTTACAGTAATCAAATGACGCAAATATAAGGTCAAAAACCTTGGCTCTTACCATATGCGTAAGAGAAGAAATAAATGTGGAACACCAAGAAGTACAGCAAGAAGAAACGCGGGAAGAACTTCATCGATATTGGTGTCCTCACACTGCATTATTTGGAAGATAGGACTTTGTTACTTTTACATTCAACTACTAGAAGAGAAAATTTGATTTTGTTATTTGCAAGATCATCATGAGCTCGAAAGTTGATGTACAGGAAGGTGTCTGAGGCAAAAGAGTAGACCGAACCTTATCAGGGTGAATAATTCGCATAGCCAGACAAGAACTAGAACCATGAAAGCCAATAGCTGATCGTCGTAAAACTCAAACAGGAAGAACAGAATCCCAATCATAATCTGCAATTTCAAATAACTATATTATGTCAGTCAAGAGAATCCTCTGGAATATTGGAACCAAAAAAAAAAAAGAAAACCAGGGCTGTGTGTGCATACGGGTACAAAGACGAGGGATTCAATCACGTGCACAAAGATTAACTGAAATGTTGGTAACCGATGTTGAGCATGGTGTTGAAGCTGCACTGCAACAAATTGAAATCGAAACAAAGATGATTGTTGAGAAACAAAGATGTGAAACTTACAGCTATTGGAATAGAAGAAAGACAAACCTGTGAACTTTAACATGCGAGTTTGTGTCTCTCGCAATGTAAATGACACAGACATTGTGGTTGTGAAAAACACAAAAAGTGACATCATAAGCACACCACATTTCGTCACCAAGTAATCTGCATACATCGGAATAATAATATTACTCAGTATATTAGAGCAAAATGCTTATATTGCACTACAGAGAAAGTTGCAAGGGCCAATAAAGCATCCTTGGTGAGATTTTTCAATCCAATATAATGCTCATACTCAACAGAGTTGCTAGATGCAAGGAAAACTTTTCAACATATGCTGTTCACGGTACAGAACATGACGAACCTCCAAATTGCGAAGAACCTTCAGAAAGTTCTTGGGAGTAACTAAGATTGTAAAACTCTCTTGTCTGGAAGTTGTATAGATAACCTGTAATGGACAAAGTTGGCAGTCATATGGAATGAAAACTGCAGCTTTCATATATGCATATAGATAAAAACAATCAAAGGGACATGAGCAGCATACAAAGACAGATGGAGAAATCATGTAATAGCTACCGACAACAACATTGGTTATTTTACATTATGCATAGGCATGCATGGACTAACTAATTCATGCACATTAATCTTTGACTAGACTTCCCAGAGGATAATTTTATTTAGAGTAACAATAAAATATAACCTGATGGAAACAGGTTGTACACAAGATACAAAAGCAAGGACAAACATATCGATGAGGAATCACAGGCCTAGAAGGATGCAGATATATAACTTCGCACTGCCTAATTGCGAAATGTGAAACTCGCATGATCATAATCATTCAGACAAACAGCCAATACCTACCTTGGCCAGCAGAGTTCTGTAAGCTATTCATTATAATAGTATCATATCCTACAACTCTGTTTATAAGAAGTTGCTGCCACCTGAAAAAGTAATTCAAATTTAAGAAGCTTATCATCTGGATACAGCACTTCCAATCAAATCAACTGTTTCGAAAGTGAGGGCCAGTAACAAAAATATTACCTGTTGCCAAAGCAGGGATGTCGCGCCGATATGCTGACATTTGAAGTGCGAATGTTATGCCTTGACTTTGCTTCATCAGGCAGCAAAAAGTAACCCTATATGGAAAAAGAGAGGCTCAATTCTAAAATCGAACCAGAAATTCAACAGAAGAATTCCTCATTTTTGAATCTTCCTTCAGAAAATATATTATTTTGGGGTATAAGATGCTCAAGGATCTTCCACTAGCCAGCTTCAAATTCTTAATAGAAGAGAATAATGTTTACCTTTTCCATAGTATAAAGATATGTTGGCTCAAACTCTTGAGTTCTTCTCTCAAGCCATTGAACTGAAAAACAATCAACAAACAAATTAATTTCAAACAAAGCAGTTAATGCACACATCTCTGATTTCCCAACCCAAAGCAGAACGAAAAGCCCAACCTGTGTGATTTCACTCTTCTAATAACTAAACCTCTAAAATATAACACTGTAGATGGTTACTAAGAAGAGTCCCGAAAACAGAAATTTTATTTGTTAGGTTGCGTATCTCAAACCAAGATATGCTTTTCACAAGGAAATGTATGTATTCAGATTCAATTATACAAATGTAAAAAGGGTCATCATTGTCTGATAGGTTCATTTAATTGATGAAGAACAAATATAAAATAGAAATTCTACTGAGGCGGCTTTTACCTGCATAGTAGTTAACCTTATCCATATACAGAACATGCAACAATTTGGGCACATCAAGATTCAACGGTATGCCGATGATGTTCTGCATTTAAGATTTTCAGAACAAAATAAATTGTCTTAGTCAAAACACAAATAATCAGGATTGCAACCCAGCAGATGATCTAAGTACTGTGGCCTCAAAATAGAGATATCTTTAAAGAGCTAAATTTCGTAGGTAAGGCTAAGTCCATTTTCCCCACAAAAGAAAATACTGAAAATCTCACACCCTAACCATTATGCCACATGCCACTTAAATTTTTCAGTAACATCAGTAAAGAACCATGCTATATAAGCGATATACCAAAAACATCCAACACAAACCTCGCAGAGAAGATAAAACGTCTATATAGAACAGCCACAAGCAATATCTAAGTCAGATCTTGAGAAACAAAAGCAAATGAATTAAAGAGGTCAGAGCAACTAGTTAAGAGACAACTAACCCATATTTTTCTAACACCTCTGAGGAACCGTGCTGTATGCTGTAAAACAAAAGATATGCGCCTATAACACTTTTTGAGAAAGCGAAGAATAGCTGCTCTGACAGTCTCTTTTGCAGACACTGAGAAACTACTGCGGGGCTCTTCCTTATCAATTTTAACAAATATCTCATCAGCATTTTCTTCACTGGTAGAGCTTTCTGCATGATTGCACAAAAGGCAGTATCAGTTTCTGCAAACTTCAAAGATATTAAACTCCTACAGGCAGTCTTTCCAAACCAACTCAACCACAGCCTACTCCCGAAGATAAAGACTCACCTTGATCAGTCTTCGAGACTTCTAAATTGTCAGCTGCAGCCTCAACTTTGGGAACATCTGCAGCAGTACTTTCATCATTACGTGACCACAACCCTGCGCTTGTTATCTATACCACAGAAAATAAGTTGGTACCATATATTTTGTAGAGAACTAAGAATGAATACAAATTTCTTTATAGCTAAGTGATTTTCAGAAAGAGACTATCAGAGTACGAGTAGTTTATGTCTTGCAAGGAGTAGGAACCAACTCATGGGGCAGGAAAATCTAGAAATTTTCACTAATAATGCAAACCATCATCAGAAGGGATAACTACTACATACCTTGATTTGTAAAAGCTCTGCTTCAGCTAACTCAACTCCAGTCAGCTCACTTGAACAACCAGGCTTTGAAAGAAAAAAGAAAGGTAACTAAATTAGTTAGAGAGGAACAATTAAGGTCAGACAAGAAAAGCTTAGAAGGCACTAGCATGAAACATCTTAGGAAGGCAGATTACACAAAACTCTTGAAGTTTGAAAATGCATTTGCATGGGAAGCAATTCCTATTGGAAAGTATACTAGTACTTGCATCAAAATATGAAGTGTGCATTTTAAAATAGAAAAACCATTTGCAGTGGAAGAAAAAAAAACACATAAAGGTGTCCGAAAAGTATATTCCAGCGGATTCAACGTAATTATGAGCTCTGCTATTTTAGAGAAGGTACAAACAGTAGACTCCAAACCAAGCTCATGCTAAAACCTTTATCAAATAGCTTCAGTTACATGAAAAACCTGACCAATCCAGAAAGATGCTTTACAAATACACAGAAAACAGGGGCTGCGATACCTGCTAAAATCTTCTACTGGTAC